AGGAATGGGCTCATCTCTGGGAATTATTTTTCTTTTCCTTAACTAGAGTCCCACAAATACCTTTTGGTGTCACGTTAAATTGGTCTCTGAAAAATGTATCGCTTATCCTTAGATCAGTGGATCTTATTGGTCTTTGAGCAACCACCAGACTTTATCATAGGAATCATCCAGGTGGGAAAAGACCTTTAGGACCATCAAGTCCAACCGTTCCCCAGCACTGCCAAGGCCACACTAACCCATGTAACCGAGGGCCTCGTCTACATGGTTTGTGGACACTTGCAGGGACGGTGACTCCAGCACTGCCCTGGGCAGCCTGTCCCAATGCCTGAGCACCCTTTGGGGAAGGAATTGTTCCCAATCTCCATCTAAACCTTCCCTGGCGCAGCTTGAGGCTGTTTCCTCTTGTTCTGTCACTTTTTACTTGGGAGAAGAGACCAGCCCCTATACATCATGTCAAAATGTGGACCTGACTGGTTGAAAGTGTCCCGCCTGAACAGTGGGTTTCAGGGTGGGATATCCCTGGAGCGCTGTCCCAGGCCACCTGCCACACGGGAGATACTGGTGGCCTCATGAATTGAAAAGAAATGCCTTATGCATCTGTGGCTAGTTCAAACGGATAAACTTCCCCATTCCAAAAGCACACCTTATTTTGGGATGTACTGTTGTTTCCGAGAGGAAAGTGATGTACTTTGTCAGATTCTGTAGCTAAGTGCTCAATAGGCTTCCATCCCTCTGTCCAAGTGCAGGCGATGGGTCTCGCCCTGTTCTTCCATAGCGGTGACACACGTCACCGGGGTATCAATACACATCGCACTAGGGACAAACGAGGGAATCCTGAACTCCTGCCTTCCTTCCCAGATGATCCCCCAGACACTTGTCTGTTAAATACATATCAATGCTGTGATTTTAATTCCCTCACTGACTGTGGTCCTAGTTGGTGAATCTTAATAATGGCTTACTCAGACTAGGCTTGCTCAGCTATCAGTGCTGTCTGAATCCGCTGTCAGACTTGCAGGGTCCTGCGTGATAAGGTGCAACCATCAATAATTTTAAACATTCAGGACACCAGAGAGAAACAGCCCGAGACTTTTCTTTTGATTTGAAACTCTTAGCCATAAAGCAGAGCATCTGGGTGGCTCTTCTTGGCTTTCGATGGCAGTATGCAATTTGTATTGTATGTGTCTTTTAATATATATGTATATATATATGAACTCAGTCTGTCCAAAGTATATGTTATACTTGTTTTTAGATTATGGTGCAACTGACTATATTGATATATTATTTATTGAGTGCTGAATCACCATCTTATTGGTGATAAATCTTGCATATTATACAGGAGTGCAATGTATATTCCTTTAGATTGCTGAGGCTTGATTGCTGTGATCACAAAAAGATGCCCTCAACTGTGTTTATGAACGGCCCCAACACACCGAGTCAGTACTTCATAGGAATAATGTAGCACTTGCCTGGGGCAAGTAAAACTCACGCCGTAGGCACATCAGGAGGCGGTTTGCCAAAATGGCAAGCTGCTGGAGGAAGGGAGACTACCTTTGCTGTATTTAATAGTTTACCTAACAGGTATTTGCTGTCACTGCAGTGTTTATATTAAGGGATTGAAAGGGCCTGAGCAAGTCAAGTTTGAATTACCCATTGGGGAGTCAACAGCTTCCAAATTCTGACATTTCTGACAAATACTGTGGTCGGGGTTTCAGTTTCTCTGTCTGATGAATCAGTGTTATGGAAAACCCTGTATTTCCAAGCAACAAAGCGAGTGCTAGACATCTGTGAGAGTAGCCAAAGCTTTTGCTAGCCAACTCAGACAAATCCAGAGCTGTTCCGGGAGACAAATCCCCTAAATAGGAAAGTTAAACTCAGTCAATCGGGGAATCATGATCTACGTCCAGTTCCATTGCTTTGCAAGGAATTGGGCTCTGCTGCCGGGGTGCTGTTTCTTAGAATCATAGGATAGTTTGGGCTAGAAGGGACCTTCACAGGTCTTCTAGTCCAGCCCCCCTGCGATGAGCAGGGACATCTTCCACTAGGTCGGGTTGCCCAGAACCACATCCAGCCTGGCCTGGAATGTCTCCAGGGATGGCTTTTGGAAGCGAGCAGTGGTGGTGCTGGGTGGGAGGTGAGGGCTGGTTGTGCCATCAGGAGGTTGCGGTCTCGGGGGGAGCCTGGTGGAGCAGCAGCTCTGCCCTGGGCGAGGGCAGCCTCGGGCAGCCTCAGCTCTGCTCCTGGCCGGTGCTCAGAGGGCTTGGAAATGCGGTGGCACAATGTGGAGTTCCCATAGGATGTCTTATGTGAATGCTTCACTTGGTTTAATTCCATCTGGAAGCTTAAGGAAAGCGTTTCCGTTCCTGGTGTAACTCCACACATGCTGATGGAGCCAATACAGGCAGACTGGGACA